TGCACGAGCTGGTGGTTCTGGAGGTGTTTGTGCTCTGGYTCAGCTGCTGCTGTACAGCTGAGGCTGCACTGGAGGCATTGGCCAGACTCTGGGACTGGTTTACCGGGTTGCTGCTTGTTGTTTTAAATAGGGAAAAGATGTTTTTCTTCCGTTTGTGATGTGCTTGGATGGTTGGTTGTGAAATGTTTGCTTTTACTCTGGCTTTCAATCTATTGTTAGGGTGTTTCAAATGTATTTTTTGTTTCTCAGAGATAGCAACATTGTTCATAATTTGCCCTGTGAACAATCCCTAGGGTGGTTTTTTCCGAAACTTCTGCACTAAATTCTGATTTCTGCTCATCCTGCKGTGATTCTGATGAGCTGTTTCCGGTTTTCCCCTGTTTTATCTCCAAGGTCTGAACTTCAGGCTTTTATTGCTCTCAGTTTTAAGTATTAGCTTGAGAATCTGTGCCTACCAAGCACTACCATCCTATGCAGTTTCTTCTGCTGCAAAYTCTGGTGTTGCTCTCCCTTTGTGATTCATTTCCCTCTTTGGAATCTGTGAGTGCTGGCAGTCATGGAAAGGGTCCCTGCCCATGGCAGGGGTTGGGACTAGGGGATCTTTAAGGTCCTTTCCAACTCAAATCACTCTCTGTCACACAGAATTCCACAATCACTGAGGCTGGGAAGGACCTTCAAGATCATCAAATCCAACCTGTGACCAACCCAGTGACCAGAGCACTGAGTGCCACATCCAGGCATTCCTTGAGCACCTCTAGGGATGGTGATTCCACCAACTCCCTGGTCACCCCCTTCCAATGTTTAACAACCCTTTCAGTGAAGGAATTCTTCCTGAAAGAATCAGTCAAGCAGGTTCTAAATATTCAGAACCATGCAGTCAAGCAGGAAGCCTTTCACTAATTTTCTTTGTTGTGACAGAGCTTTTGTAAGGATTCYTCTCCCAGTGGTATCCTTGTGAAATGTAATGACTCCAAGGCATTTGAATCTTGTGGGGGTGTGCTGATGCGTGTATTACACAGGAATTTCATTCTGTTTGGGTTTTTCTGAGTGTGTGGTTACATTTCACATGTCATTACTGCATGCTGGGGATGCCTGGTGTATCCTTGCAGATCTCATCAGTCCACAGCTCATCCTGGACCGGGCCTTAGAGATTTAATATTAAATCCRGTAGTTTGAGCTTTCCTTAAAACACAGTAATGTTAAGTGTCACTTTGTGGTCCCTTCTCCCAAAGGCAGRTGAGCAGGTGGCTGTCTCATTTATTTGCTTGAAAACAGAAAATTCCAAGCCTTGATGGCTTGCTCTATAACCTCTCACAAACTTGGAAAGCAGCAGGCAAAAGAGCCTCCATTTCACTCTCAAAAATAAACACGATTCCTTTGATGCCTTCACTTGGCATCCAGGCTTCTGTGTCACTTCCATTTGGGGTTGGCAGCTTCTTCCTTACACCCAGAAGTGATGCAAATCTCCTGGCACCATTTTGGGAGAATCTCTGTTCTTGGGAACTTGGATTTTTAGAAGCAGTCAGATGTGCTGCAGCTCACACATTTGAGCTTCCCAGAGTTGTTAACCAGGGGAATTTATTGTCCCAGTATCACTCATCTCCCAAGGSCATCTCGATGGATACAGGACACAGAGAAAAAAGACTTGGGGAAGAGTTGAATTGCCAGTAGAATAATTCATCAGAATATATGGGAAAATCCAGGGTGCAGATGTAATCATGACAAAACACCAGTGTGAGTGGCAAAATTCACGGATCTGAATTACTCTGCTGTTGCTTTGCCAGCACTTCCCCTCCCTCAGATGCTCCCCTGGAAGTGCAGTTTCACAGTGGAGCTACGTGGGTGTCACAGGGATGGTGTTTCCCTGTGTGGACCACCAGAAYACAGCCCAGGTTAGGCGTGTATTGCACAATAAGTTCTGCCAGAGCAAGATAAAGTCTGGTGCTGCTCTGTTTTCTATGAATTCAGARCAGCATTTGACTTCCTGGAAAGCCGCCCTGCACACCAGCAGCGTGGGCAGCCCCAGAACCTGTGGAGAGCTTGGGTTTGGCTGCTGTGTGGGGAAATAAATCATCAAATGAATGAGGCTGGCAGCTCCTGCTGAAAGAAATGCTGGCTTCAGCTTCCCTTTGGGCTCACTCTTGCCTGCAATAAYTCCTATCTAACATGCACAGGTGCATGGCACTGACATGCAAAAGGTTAATTCAGCCTTGGTTCATCTGCCAAGGAGCAGCTGGGCAGGTGCAGCCTGAGGAAAACCTGGAGCATGGCTGCTGCTACTGTTGGGTGCTGTCTGCTGTTAGAGGGATGCTGCCCTGGGTCCTGGAGCAGGGTGGGCTCTGGGATGACCCTGTTCAGGTAATCCTTTGGTTCTTTAAGGGSTCATCCTGCCATGTGCTGGATGCTGAGCAGAGGGTGTTGAGCAATGGCCAGCATTGGCATGACAGGGTACAGCCTGCTGGCRGGGCTGGGAGAGCCACTGACTCACCCACTCCAGCCCCATTTCCATGGTGGTTTAAGACCTAAAATGACTGAAGTGAGGGTGGGGGAAGGCAGGGCAAGGAAGGGAATCTGCTGGCAGGAACTGGGGCTTCTCAGGAGCAGGTGAGTCTGCTGGGCATCAGCCTCACCCCTGCTTCACAAATTTAGGGAGYGAGGGGCACACTTGTGCAGTTACTCAGTGCTTGCACTGAGAGGGATCTTAGGGGAATCATGCAACCAGGGCAGGGCCATGMCCTTAGATGTCTTTTCCAACCTTAACAATCTTATAATTCCGTGCTTTTGAAGKGGTACAGATCTGCAGCGGGTAGAGTGTCCTCTGGCCAGCCTGGTTCTTCCCAGGCTGCTGCTGGCAGGGTTAAGGTAGCTGGGTACCCCCTTCTTTCACAGCAAAGCCAGATCGAGCCATGCTTATCTCTAAGCCTGGTGCCACCTCCCCCTCTTTCCTCCCAGTACCTCAGGGTGGGTTGATTAACACCTGGGGCTTTGTAGCAGAAAAGAGATTTCCYTGCCTGGCCCTCTCCATCCCTCCCCAGTCCTGTTTTTCCGGCTTTGCAGGTTTCTGCACACAGCCCTTCCATTCTTGTCAGGCTCCTGGCCCCCCTGGTTGGGGGAGGAGCAGCCAGGTCCTGCTCCGCCACCTGGAAAGGACAGGAACTGTGGTTTGGATCTCTCCCAAATGTGGGATGAACTCAGCATGCTGAGTTCTGTTGTGTGGAGAGTCAGGCCAGGGTCAGAGAAAGAAGAGCCGGGCTTCTAGTGCAAGGTGGAGAGGTGTCTGGTGAGTTTGGGCTTCGGTGAGTCTCTGCCTTGTTCTGGCCCTGGCTGAGAGGAGAGGCTGTGGCACCCAGCCTGAGCCCCCAGCACTGTCAGCCTGGGGAGCAGATGGGGCTCCAGGAGTGATGTGTGAGGAGAGRGTTGTTGCTCTTGTGCTTCTGATGGCCATGGCTACTTCAGGTTGTTCAGGTGGTGGCCACCAAGTCAGTGCTTACCATGTGGCTTCCCTTGCAGGCTCACAGGAGATTCAYATAGATGAGAAAACCCTGAGCCCTCAGCTCAGCCTGTCGGAAGACAAAAGAACCCTGACCTTCAGTCCCAAGAAAGCCAAGGTGGACTYGGACTGCCCCGAGCGGTTTGACCACTGGCCCAACGCTTTGGCCACTGCACCTTTCCACTCGGGGATCTGTGCATGGAAGGTCAGCGTGGAGCAGAGCTGTGCCTACAAGCTGGGGGTTTGCTACAGCTCCGTGCCCAGGAAGGGCTCTGCCAACGAAGGCCGCCTGGGCTTCAACGCCGTCTCCTGGGTGTTCTCACGCTACGACAAAGAATTCCGCTTCCTGCACGCGGGACAGCCGCAGCCTGTGGAGCTGATCAAGGCCCCCACAGAGATTGGGGTCCTGCTGGACTTTGGGGCAGGAGAGCTGCTCTTCTACGACCCAGACTCCTGCACTATCCTCTTCTCCCACCGTGAGGCCTTCGCGGAGCCCGTCTATCCCGTCTTTGCCGTGGCACACCAGGGCATCTCGCTGGTGCCGTGAGCGGGGTGTGTGACTGTGTGTGCTCTGCACAGTGCCTGGGTGCAAAAGAGCCCGKGCAGGGCTAGGGGCTGTGTACAAGGGCCTTCAGACAACACCTGTCTTCACACCACAGCTGTTCCTCACGTGTTTTCTGCAGCTTTCCTCTCCTCCCAGAGCTTACAYCCTGTGTGGGGGTGAGGGGTCAGGTAATGCCTGGCTGGGCCAACTACTCTTGGGTGAATTGTTTAATTTCTGCCTGGCCAAAGGCAGCTTTCCAGCTTGCTGCTGAGCTGTGGGAAATGGGAGAAACAGTGAGATATGTATGGAGAAATGGCTGGGAGGAGGCCTGYGGAAAGGGACATACTGTRCTGTACAAYTATCTGAAAGGAGGGTGRAGCCGGTGGGGGTCAGGCTCTGCTCTCAAGCGCTTAACAGTGAAAGGACAACAGGAAATGGCTTCAAAAAAACAGAGGTTTAGGTTGGATAGTGGAGAAAATTTCTTCACTGAAAGGGTGGYCAGGCATTGGCACAGGCTGCCCAGGGCAGTGATGGAGTCACCATCCCTGGAGGGGTTTAAAAGGYRTTGTGGACTTGGGCACTTGGRGACAYGGTTTAATGGTGGCCATGGCAGTGCTGGGGGAACAGTTGGACTCKATCTWAAAGGTATTTTCCAGCCTAAATGATTCTGTGATTCTATGATTGGGACACAGCTGGAGACACGTTTGAGAGGAGCAAATAGGAGCCCCTATTGTAAAGCAAGGGGCTATCCCCTGTGGGGGACCCATGCTGGGACAGGGGCACTGCTAAGGGCCTGTGGCCATGTCTGAGCAGAGGATCAAGAAAAAAGCAGCAGAAAGAAACCAAACCTGAGGATCCCAACAGAGTGGGGTTTCAGTGTAACATGGTGCAAAAAAGGGGAGCTGGTGGCAGCAGGCAGGGAGGGAGAGGTGTTGGCCTGGAGTTGAGCCAGAGAAAGGGGTTTAAAGCGCTCATCTTTACTTCTCGCTACACAAATCAGTAAATTTTGTTAGCTGGAAATTCATTAAGTGAAATTCCCCAATTCCAGACTGTTTTGCCCACAGCAGGAGACCTGCAGGCACCTCCTGGCCACCGCTGTTGGGAAGGGGTGGTTTGTYGATGAGGTGGCAAAGCTGGGGTACACGGAAGGGTGCAGGGCCTGTGCAGAAGTGTCCTGGGTGCTCCATGTGGGCAGACTTTCCATGGGACAGGGCCAGCACTTGCACTGGGGAATACTTGAGCCTTTCCCCGGGGTGATGGAGAGGGGATAAACCTCAGTATCTGCCTCCATCTCCTGCCAGAAGGAGCCTCTGCAATGTGACCCAGTGTCAGCCTTGTCAGCTAGGGGGAGACACCACTACTGTCCCCCTTTCTGCAGTGTTTTTAGAGCCACAAAATACATCAGCAGAAATGTTTTATTGCATGGACACCCCGGCTGCTCCGCAGGCAGCTCAGACTCACTTGTTTTCCCTGCCCCCCTAGCAACAAGAGATCTCATGTCAGACAGTTCAACACTCGGCAGCAGCACTGGACCCCTCCCAACCGCAGCTACCCCTTCTCGATACGAGCCAGGAGGTGGCTAAGCGTGGGCAGGACGTGCTCAGGGGGCACCTCTGGCCCCTGCTCCTGCCCGGCCGGCCGCAGCAGGAAGCTGTGCATGCCCACGGCCCGGGCTGCCCGGTAATCCCGGGTGTAGTCATCCCCGATGTGAGCCGCCTGCTCCGGGCGGGCCCCGCCGAGCCGCAGTGCCTCCTCGAAGATCCTCCCGTCCGGCTTGGCGAAGCCCGCGGCCTCGGAGGTGAGCACGAACTCGAAGTGGTGGCGCAGGCTGCACTGCGAGAGAATGACTTCCAGCCGGTTRTCGAAGTTGGACACGACTCCCATGCGGAAGCCGAGCTCCCGGCACCGGTTCAGGGTCTCGGCGGCTCCCGGCAGCACCTCCCAGTTGTGCGAGCTGCAGTAGTCGCGGTAGAGTTTTTCTGCCAGCTTCGTCAGAGCTGCCTCGTCCTGCACGCCCGAGAGCCTGAAGCTCTGTTTGACAACATCCAGCCACCACTGCCGGGAGCTGAGCCCCTGGCCGTGGCCGTAGTTGGGGAAGCGCCGGCTCTGGGTTCCGTACACCTCCCGGAAGGAGCGCCCCAGAGCCTCGGGCTGCACCTGGAGCCCGTGGGTCCGGGCCTCGGCCGCGTAGCTCTGGCCCACGGGCTGCCGCAGCCGGAGCAGAGTGTCCTTCACGTCCCAGGTCAGCAGGCGCAGCCTGAGCATGGCCTCAGCGACGCCCGGGGACACAGCCGGGCCCGCTGCTCCCCGCAGTGYCACTCACATCAAAGGGCTGCGGGCACCTCAGCTCTTTGTCCACCTCAGTCCAAGTGTCAGTGTCCTTCGTGGGGGCTCACGGCCCCGCTGGGGTCAGCATGAAGACGCGACAGGGAGGGAGAACCCTGCTCCGACTTCTAGGGGCAAAGTCTGCCAGGCCGGGGCAGTGACACTGGCCACGTGGGTGCTGCCGACGAGCTCTGCGGGACGGGCGGGGGCACTACGGCTGGACCCAGCCTGGGGGGCCGGTGCGTGGCCAGGGTGTCTGGGGAGGGTGGCCGGGGCACACTCGGGGTGTCCGCACCCGTGCAACGTGGTTGCGGGCTCCCGGGATCCCCGCGGGTCCCCCGAGGCCCGGAGGCGCGGGGCGGTGCAGGCGCTCACCGGGCCGAGCTCCCGGTGCACGGGGGTTGCGAGCCGGGGGCGGAACGGTGACCTGGCCCTGGTGCGCCAATGCCGGCAAGTGCCGCGCCTACCGGAACACCCGCCCCTCCAGGAACTCCCGCCCTTCCCGGATCTCCCGCCCCTCCCGGGACACCGCCCCCCCCGGAATTCCCGCCCCTCCCGGGACTCCCGCTCCTCCCGGACACCCGCCCCTCCCGGAACACCGCCCCGGCCGGAATGGCCGCGCTCAGGGCCGGCCCGCCGCCTCCCGCAGCCAGCGCAGCAGCTGCGGTGTGAAGTAGGTGATGATGATGTCGGCCCCTGCGGAGAGACGAGACGCTGCAGCCAGCCCGGGGAGACACGGGGGCCACACCGGGGGATAGAGGGGGACACGGGGGTCGCAGCCTCACCTGAGCGCCTGAAGGCCGTGATCGCCTCCTGCACGGCCGCCTCCAGGCTGAAGGCGCCGGCCTGCGCCCCGTGCCACAGCATGGCGAACTCCCCCGAGACGTGGTACACGGCCAGCGGGTGCGTGGGGTGCTGCGGGAGCGGGTCAGCGCCGGGGACAGCCCGTCCTGCCCGCGCTGTCCCCGCCTGCACACCCCAGCACAGGGAACTCACACCCCCTCCCACAGCCCTCCCTGCCCGCAGGAGCTCACCCGAGCCTTCACGTCCCTCACGAGGTCCAGGTAGGGCATCCCCGGCTTCACCATCAGCATGTCCGCACCCTCCCGCACGTCCCGGTCCTGCCACGGCAGCGCGGGACAAGAACACGTTGTTTCCCCAGTTTGGAGCCGGTGGATGTTGTCCCAGAGGGATCACAAGAGGCTGTGAGCCCCCCATGGCCAAGGTGCTCCCCTCATGGGACACGGTGTCAGAGGGGAGCTGATGGCTGCATGGCCCTGGTTGTGACACCCCAGGCCACAGCAGGGCACGGGGACACCAAACTGCACAGCTCCCAGTGCCCGGTCCTGGGACACACACCGGGACCAGCTCTGACAGGCTGAGGGGCCTCGTGTTTCTTAGCTCATGGAAGGGAAAGAACCTGGACCAGTTTGGCTGCTGCGCCTCCCACTTGCTTTTGACCCTCTGGCTCTCTGCAAGCCCTGCTGGATGTGATCACCCAGGCCCCCTAGGGTGTCCCACCCCACAGCCCCACACTCACCCCACTGAGGTGTCCCACCCCACAGCCATCACCCCACAGCCCCACACCTCCCACTGAGGGTGTCCCACCCCACAGCCATCACCCCACAGCCCCACACCTCCCACTGAGGGTGTCCCACCCACAGCCATCACCCCACACTCACCACGGCGCGGATGGCCAGCCCGCGGGCACCCGGGGGCAGCTGGTAACAGCGCCGGTCCCCAAAGGCGGGTTTGGACAGTGCTGCATCCCTGCAGAGGGGCAGAGGGCAGGGAGTGAGGAACCCCTGGCCCCACCTCGTACAGCTTCACAAACACGAGGACAGGCCAGGACAGATGTCTGAGTCACTGAGGCAGGAAAAGGGGGTGCTCCAAACCCAGGTCAGCACCCAGCGATTGTTCTGGGAGGTCCTGCAGGCCCAGGCTGGCCCTGGGAGCTGTGTTTCAGCACCCGCTGCCCTCCCCATGCCCAGAGTGTGGGTAAAATTGTGTCAGGCTCTTTTCCAAGGCAGGTTCCTCAGGGTTACTGTGCCAGAGTCAGGCTGTTCTTGGGACCAGGTCTAACAGCTGACTAAGCTGAGGCTTGTCCCTGAAGTTACCCTTTGGGGCTGCGCTGACCCCTGTGACTCCTGACTGCTCCTGGAGTGCAGGAGCTCCCTCCCTGCCTGCCTTGCCACCAGCACCTCAGATGAGGAGATGAAGGGGAGGGATAGAAGATCACCCAGGTGACCATAGCACCAGGCAGCTTCTCCTGGGCAGGGTACATTTGTCTCCTTTTTGCAYGGAGAAGTAGGAGGAGGGTGCTGCAAAGTGACCAGCGTGGCCCTGGCTGCAGTCCAGGCTCTGGCCAAGCCCCTTTCCCAGTAACTCCCTGGGAATGCCCTCACAGCCAGCCTGGCAGCAGCTGGGCACACCAGGCAGAGGGATAGACTCACCTGAAGGGGCCGTAGAAGCACGAAGCGAACTTGGCACTGTAGCTCATCACTGAGACCTGCAGAGCAGAGAGGGGCACTGAGGGCTGGGAGCTTGGGGCCACAGCCCAGGGCTGGGACAGCAGAGATTCCTTCCCACGGCTGCTTCATCCTCCCCTGCCAGAGCTCTGGCACCTCCCCATGCCCGGGCCCAGCCAAGGACGTTCCCTTCCTGCATGTGCCAGGGCAGGGAAGCGCCCGTGGCACCAAGGTGGGGTTTGCCCTCCTGCCACTTGCCCCGACCCRCCGTGCTGCTGCCTCCCGTGGATGTGGCTCCTGCCCGTGGCACACGCAGCTCCCTGGCTCACCTTGTTGCCCAGGTCATTGGAGATCAGCGCCTGCTTCATGGCCGCGATGCGCCCATCCATCATGTCCGAGGGAGCCACGATGTGGCAGCCTGCAGGRACACACAGGGTGGGGATGCTGGCAAGCACCCGAGGCTTTGGCACTGCTGGGACCAGCGCMGGGAGGGCAGAGGAGCACTCCAGGCTGCTTTGGGGTCTGCTCCAATACAGAGAGATGCCGCTCTGGGAAAGCCAGACTGGGGCGGCATTGCCCAGGACTCCTCACCTGCTTTGGCATAAGCCAGTGCCACCTCTGCCAGCCGCTGGCAGCTGAGCTCGTTCTGGATGGTGCCATCTTCGCGCAGGATGCCTGGGAGACAAAGCCAGGGTTACACGGGAGGGACAGCAGGTGCCTCTGTCCCCWGGAGGGAGTGGCTCTGGGGAAAAACTAGAGCTGCTCAGAGCAGCAGTGGGGAACTGAATGTGTTAAGGGAGGTGGATAAGGTTCAGGAGAGAGGTACACAACATTTGGGTGCTCCAGGGAAGGGAAGGCAGAGACAGGGCACAGGGAGGGGTGCTCAGACTCAGGTGACCTGAGGGAGGGTCTTAACCACCCCTGCCTTCCACCCTGTGGTCAAAATCCAGGAGAAATATCTCAAGATCAACTGCAGCASTACAGGGAAGCGAAGAGTTGGAGCAGGAGCTGGCCAGACCCCAGCAGCACCTGGAGCCCCTCAGCAGAAAATGGCAGATCCCAGAGCGCAGCCCGGCCCTGCAGTCCGTGCTCACCGCAGTGCCCGTGCGAGGTGTACGGGCACAGGCAGACATCGCAGGCAATCAGCAGCTCTGGGAAGGTGGAGCGGATCTTCCTGATGGCCTGGATGGCAGGAGTGCCCTCGGCATCGGCAGCAGAGCCTCTTTCATCCTGCGAGGACAGAAACAATCAGCACACACAGCTGACACCCCCCACCAGCTCATCCACGGGAGCAGCTCTACCCAGGAAGCATCTCCTGAATGCGGGATGGTGTGACCCCACCGAGGGAAAAGGGTGATGGAGAAGCTGCCTTGGGCAGTGAGGGCAGGTTTTGGGGCCACCTGCAGAGCTCAGGGGGCTTTCTGGGTGTCACTGCAATGTCCCTTTCCTAGCTGCTGTGCTGAGYGGGCTGTAAGCACAGCCAGAAACCCTGAACTGCTCCTGTTTGACCAGGAGAGCCYCCCCAGCCCCACACTGCTCTGATAGCCCTGTGGCTACCCCAGCACCCCCACACATGCACTGACCTTGTGGACCTTGCTGGGCACCCCAAAGATGAGCACACACTTGAGGCCATCCTCGACGAGGGGCTGCAGCATCCCCTCCAGCTTGTTCACTCCATACCTGAGCAGGGCAGAGGGAGGGAGCTTCCAGGCACCTGCCAGGCACCCAGACCTGCTCCCTGGGCAGAGCTGGTCTGGGGCTGGCTTGCTGCTCTGGGAGCAATCAGCATCTGGGGCTGGAGAGGCAGGAGAGGCGCTGCCTGGACACTGGGAGGAATAATCTGAGCCCTTATCTGGGGCTGCAGGAGCGTTATCTGCCCAGCATGGATGCTGCTCTGGAACAATGGGCACAGCCTGCCCCTGGATCCCTTATCTTGGTGTCCCTGTCGTAGTTCCAGCCCGCTTTGCCATCAGAGCACCCCATGGAGAGCTCCAGCAGATGGAGACAGGAGCTGCCAGTACAGTGGGATCCAACGCAGGAGCAGATCCCATGCCCTTTTTTGGCTGCTGCTCCTGGAAATCCTGTTCACTTTGAACTCCCTGCGTGCCCAGCTCACAGAACCTGGGAGTGCTCTGGRACAGAGCCAGACCCTGGTGCTGCCCTCCCAGTGTTGGTCCTTTTCCCACAYTCCCTGCACAATTCCCTCCACTCCCTTAGTGCATGAACATTCCCACTTTGCCTGACACTGGAGCATCTCCAAAGCAGGAACCAGAGGGTTGGAAGCATCTCCCCTGGCTCATGCTCAGGGCATAAACCGACCCTCCTGGGACACAGYRGGGCTGGATTCATACCTGGCTTGTCCAGGAAGGCTGGGAATTGGCTCCACGGCATCCGGGCTGTCACTGTGGGAGGGGGATGGGACAGACACGTGAGGACTCGGTGTGASAAGGAAGCCCCTCTCCCAGACTTGTTCACAGGGACTCTGAACCTGTTTAAGAGCTCAGGGGCTGCAGGGATGGACCCAGGCAGTCCCCCTGAGCCAGGTCTGTCCCTGACCCAGACAGCCGGGGCTCACTCACGTGACAAAAATGGGGTAGATAAGGTTGGAGGCGTCAAAGGCAGTGGCCGTGCACTGCCAGGAGCGCAGCACGGGGTGGAAGTAGCCACTGTGGAGAACAGAGTCTGCCTGCATGGTGGGCTCTGCTGGAGTCGGGCAACGAGACTCTGAAACAGCAGAAAAAAACCAGCAGGGGCCTGGTGAGCTGCTGCTCTTGGCACATGTGAGGAGAGGGCTGGAATCCAGGACTATCCCTGTCCCATGCCAGGCACATGAGCTGCAGCCCAGACAGCTCCATCCCACCTACCCCGGACACCCCAGGGTGCTGCAGGACCCCCATCAGCAGTGACAGCATGGCCCTTCCCATTAAGAGGGACATCAATGACTCCTCCCTGCAAAACCCTCCAGTTCTGTGTATGAAAGCCCCATTTCCAGCCACTGACAACCTCCCCCAGCAGAACCACGTTCACCCTCCTTTCCCTGAGCCCTCAGAGGGTCATTCTTCATTCATATGAGTCTTCCTTGGTGCTGAGAACCTATGTGACACAGCTTTTGTATGCAGAGGATACTGAGCTGCTCTGTGTGATCTTTAAGGTCTCTTCCAACCCAAACCATTCCATGATTCTGTGTAGCACAACATATTTATGGTTGCAGTGTGAAGGTGCAATTATGGAAGAGTGGGGGCACTAGACGAGAGGGGAACGGGATCATCCTGAGGACACCATGGCTCTAAACCCATCACTCTGTCACAGTTACACAACTCCAGTGGCCACTTAGTGCTGGGTAAAGAGAACTGGACTTGGGCAAAACTGATTTCAGAGACAACAAATTAGTCCACWACACAAATCAATCATTTGCTGTCTCATTGTTGAAACTTCTTCTGTAACAATGTTTTAAAGTTCTCTAGCACATCAAGTAATAATTCTGTGATTAAAGGATTAAGAATTAAATTTCATTGGGACTCAATTCACACTGCATTTCTGATGGATGTGACAGAAGGGGCCGTGGGAAGGGAGCTCTCTTGGGACGAGGTGTTTGGCTGCAGCTGCACAAYCCCAACGAGAGACTGTTCATGCAGAGCAGCTCCAAGGACTTCTGCTGGCTGCTCACACAGGGCCACATCCCCCAAACACCTCTGCAGAGGAGCTGGGCTGCCTTGGGACACAAAGTTCCTGCTGGAGAGCGTGGATTTTTGGGAGCTGGAGCCTGAGGGAGGTGGGCAGGAGCAGAGCTGGGACRGGATTGTGAAAGAGCAGGCGGATTCCTTTGAGTATCCTGGGTAGGGCAGAGCTCTCCTCAGGAGATGGAGCAGCAGGAGGGTGGGACCCATCTCAGRGAAGCGGCTCTGTGGTCCCATCCCAGGAGGGATTCCCAAGGCAATAAACCTCACTGACCTGCAGCCTGCATCCAACTGGCCAGAGAACAGGCACAGCTCGCAGCTCCCAGCACAGAATCCAGAGACAAAGTTTTACACCGGCACCAGCAACAGAGCTGGGCAGGAGACAGCTCAGTTCCAATGGAAACCCACTAATATGAGGTGTTTCACTGATTTTACACACTCACCACCCTTCAGATATTCTAATATGGAGCCAAACTCTGCCTGTCAGAGTACCCAAGTGCCCAGGACACTTGGAACAAAGGAGAATTGTGTTCAGTCCAGGGCTGGAATCAAGCCTGTCATACCCCAAGAAATTGCTTCTGCTTGGGGATGGGGAAAGACCCTCTTGGTTAGAGGCTTAAACATACAAAAACCCTGAATAAAAACATCAGGTGGTGTTCACGGGGGATGCAGAGCAGCTGACGGGCATGCTGGCAGYGTCATGGCATCCCTTGGCTGGTCATTTTTAGCCCTTGGAAAGCTGCCGCCCCAGTCCTTACCCCGGGGAAGGGGACAGCCCTCGGSTGAACCGGAGCTGGCAGCTCCAGCAGGCGCCTGGCTCCAGGCAGGGCGCCGGGCAATGGCAAACAAAGGGCTCAGTGAACAAAACCCACCTCGAGAATCCAAAAAATGCTTTAAACAGTTAATCCCACCAGAGAGAGGGGAGGGGGCCGGGTGGGACCGGAGGCACCTGACTGTATGGGACAGATAGAGGCCACAGCTCCACAAAGCGCGCTCTGGAGCGAGGAGGAGACGGGGCCCGGCGGGATTGCAGTGCCGAGATAAGGGCAGGACGGGTGGGTCCCAGGCTGCTGGGCCGGGTCCTGCTTCTCAGCCCCACGTCCAGGACAAGCTGCTGCCCACGCAGGGTTCCCGGTGGGACGAGGGCACAGCCGCAGACAGGGGAAGGAGGGGAGGGACGCGGAGGGAGGGCTACGAGAGTGTGAAATCAGGGGGAGACATTGCGCCACCCGCTGCGCTCTGGGCTGGGGCTGGTCCCTCAGGGCTCCCGGCTGAGCAAATTAACCTTTCTCCAACATCCAAGGCCCAAACCTGTCTTTCTAAAGTTCTTTGCCCCGTGCATACCGGAGGAGTTCAAGGACAGCTCGGCAGCAGAGCGGCTTCACCTTTGCTCCTTCGCACTGAACCAGTCCGAAGCCGCAGCGTCCGAAACCACAGCGGTGCCCAGCCCGTGCCCGCGGCACTGCCCCGGTGCCTCGCTGCTCTCGAGGGACGGGACGCGATTTCCCAACGGGGCACGAACGGGACAAAATTCGGGGAAGGGACGGAGCCAAACCCAACACTGCTCCGGCTCCCGACAGCCCCCCGTGCTGGGAGAGTTTGTTCCCTGCCAAAATGAGACGGGAGGAAGATGTGCCCCAGCATTTTAGGACATAGAAGCCCACGTGGACTTAGCGTTCGCAGCACAACTATTTAGCTAAACCCCAGGAACACGCAAAGTCCCAAAATCCCGGACTAGGGAGCTCTAGGAAAGTGGAGCTCCCGAGGCAGACAACGGAGCTGTGGGTTAATTAACAGCCACTAATGAAGGCCAAGCTATTACAGGGTTAGTTAAGAGCTACCTAAGAAGGTCAAGCTGTTAGGACATGTTTYCTGCTCCAGGATGGATACGGGGATGCTCAGGGGTCTGGAATTACACCCCAGGACAAGCGGGAGCTCAGGACCGATACCAGCTCGCAGCATCACACGCYGCTCGCTGCTTCCCCCGCCGTTGCCACGGTTACCGAGCAAAAACCGAGAAAAACCCGAGCAAAACTAAGCAAAACCTGGGCTGTCCTTGCTGCGTTACCCGGGGCTGCCCTTCCTGCCTGCGCCKGAGCGCCGCCGGGCCCCGTGCCTGGAGTCATTCCCCGGCAGCCCTGYAMGGRGCCGGGGACCGGGGGCCGGAKARAGGKCGGACGCCCCGGCCMCAGCTCCTGTCCCCGTTCCCAGTSCCGYTCCCGTTCCGGTTCCCGTTCCCGGTGCCGTTCCCAGTCCCAGTCCCGGCACTCACCGATCGCCGCGTCCGCTCCGGCCGTGCGACAGTGTCCTCGTGGTTTGCATAACCACGCCCCCTCATTAGCATAGCCCAGCCCCGCGCGGAGGTGCTGGCGGGAAGTCTCGCGCGGCGGAGCGCGGGAAAGGCGCTGGCGGCGGCGCGGGAGGGACGGAGCGAGGGGRAAGCGGGGATTTGGGGTCGGCACAAGGGATAGGGGTGCGGTGGAGCACGGAGCAGGGGTTTGGGGTGCTGCGCGGGGCAGAAGGCAGGTTGTGGGTATTGGGGGCCAAGCAATCCAGTTTCGGGGTGCTGTAGGAGCACCTGGAGTCAGGTTTGGGGGTGCTGCAGGGGGACTCAGAGCCAGATTTTGGGGTTCTGGGGTATATGGAGCAGGGCTTAGGGGTGCCGGGGAGACCAGAAGGTAGGTTTTGGGTTTCGTGGGGGCTGGATCAGGGCTTTGGAGTGCTGGGGGGTCCTGCAGTGCAGTTTTGGAGTGCTGCAGGGCCCAAAGCCAGGTTTTGGGGTGATGAGAGGGCATGAAGCAGGGTCTTGGGGTCCTGGGGTTCCATGCAGTCCAGTTTTAGGGTGCTGTGGGAGCACCTGGAGCCAGGCTTAGGGCTTCTGCAGGGACTGGAGCAGGGCACTGGGGTGCTGTGATGGTCAGAAAGCAGGGTTTAGCATGCTGTGGCAGTAGGGAGCATGGCTGGGAGGCTGTGGTGGTGTGGAGCAGGGATTTGGGGTGCTGGGGATCTGCCTGGAGCCCCACTGCAGGCCCAGCACCACTGCCTTGGTCTCCCAGAGCAGGGGAGATGTTTGGGTGAGGTTTAGTGCAGGACATTCTGCAGCTCCCACACCAAAGCACCATTCCCGGGTCTGCTTGCAGTGCAGAAACCCCGGACCCACATCCTGGATCTTTCYCCCCAGCCTAGAGCCTCTCTGGAGCAAGGGTGAGCTGAAGATTCCTTCCCCCAGCAAACATCAGCACCACAACCTCCTGCTTCTCCGAGAGCTGGAAATCCCCTTGTCCTCACCAGTCTCCACAATTCCCTCCATCCTCTGACACAGAGCCCAGGCTGCAGCCCCTTTCATCCTCCCCTCATCTTCCTCCACTGTCAGCTGCTCCACAAACTATTTCCCAGAGCATTTGCTGCTGCCTTGGCTGCACGCTCCCATKCCACTTATGCAACCACAACCCACTCATTTACTCATTTTATAACTGACCGAAATACCAGACTCCATTTCTGTAAAAAAAAAAAATCTGGCTTTTATTTACATCTTGTTCCCTTCTGGAATACACACCCCAGATATGTGCTGAAGAGAAAAAAAGAAGGAAAAAGGGCTGGCAGGTGGGTGTTTATCAGAGATGAGGACATCATCAGCTCAGGCTTTCCATGTCCTGACTGAATGCCAGCAGAAACTAGACAGCAGAAAATCTGTGTTGGTTCAGTTCTTTTCAGGAGCAGGGCTTGTGTGTGTGTGAAAATCCAGGGTGCTAGGAAAGCAGGAAGGCAGGGGGGTTCTCCTGGGKAGCTCTGTGACCATTTTTTAGGATTCCTCACAAGTGCTATTTTAAAACTGCCTGTCATCAAAACTTGGGGATTTTAAATATACCTAAAGCTTTCAGAGGGAGAAAGGCTTCAGAACTAACAGTTCCAATGGAAAAGCACAAATTTACATGAGCACAAGGTTTACCAAGAGCTTCTTTCAACCCTTCTTACTTGCAGGAGCCTTTTTTTGAAACCACAGGAGCCTCCCGCATGGACAAGTCCTGCCCTCGCTGCCCTCCCTGAGCCCATCACAGCTGGGGATATGGAAGCTGGGATAACCAGTGAAGGCTACAGAGGGACCTTGGATGGAATTAGCTCATTCCAGCTGGGAAAGGGGGAAAAAAACAACCCCCACGATTCACCACTCTGTTCTACCACATCTCAGTGTGCTGCAGGAGCTGCTGCTYTGCAGGGGGACAGGTGAGACCACCAGACCCCAGAGCCACCACTGACCTGTCACACCCCAGCACTGCTCCTCATTTCAGCCCCTCAATGTGCTTCAGATTTTAAATCAATCTCCTCTGTCTCAGGGCTTTCCAAGACACTCGTGGTTCAGTTTACACTGTCAGCACTGTGAGTTTTGGGGATTTGGGTTAGTTTGGGTGAGTCAGTGAGTGAACTCATGATCCCTGTGCAGCCACACTGTGCTGCTGCTCAGGCTGAAGGACACAGTGTCACTGTCACAGTACAGSAGGGGGAGAAGGCACAGCCGGGATGCAAGGGAACAAAGGGAAAAAAAACAAGTCACTTGGATCAAGAGCTCCCATGTGCAGCTTCCCAGCCTCCTGACATCATCATCTGTGTTTTACACCCAAGTGATTTATTAGTGATTTACTGGACTCAGACCCCAATATGMAAGAGTTTCTCAGGCTCTCCTGGCCAGCTTCTGCACTGAGCACYCACCAGTTCTTCTTTCCCCTCTTTYCAGCCCAGCATCAAAARCCCAGTCARTGCCTGCACAGAGCCTGGGGAGGGGTCAAGCCCCCCAGGCACAGGTAGGAGCCACCCTGCCACGGGAAAAGCTTCAGCACAAGTCCTTTATGTACAAATTAAAGGCCAAAAGGAAYAGGCCACAGAGAGGCAGTACAAAGCTCTACTGGAAACATGAGGGACACARTGAGGTCGATTTACAGCCTTTATATCCCTCTGGACACACCCAGCCCCTGCCCACAAGTAAGCTTAGTTGTCCACCTCTTCCTCATCGTTTTGTTCTTCCTCCTCCATCCTTTCATCATCGTCATCATTGTCCTCCTCTCGGCTTTTATCTTGCTCCTCTGAGTCTGCCTTCTTGTCTTTATCTTTCCTGGCTTCTTTCTTTCCTTTCTGCTCACGCCTGTAAACTAGAGGAGAGGGAACAGTGAGGGGCCAGAGCTGGCACAGACAGGTCAGTGGCTGAGGTCCAACGTTCACTTGCTCTCCCGGCTTTCGAGGGGAGCAGGGAACTCAGAGCACAACTCACCCTACGAGCTGAGCTGTGCTGAGCAGCTCCATAGGAAATCAGGTTAAATTTCAGCAGAAAAATGCTGAAAAGGACGCAGGAGTTCACATTTACAGGCAGCACCTACGGCTTTCCTTAGATAAACATAATAGGGGAATGAGAGCAGATGAGACTTTGTCAATCCTCATCAGTTGTGCAATAATGTTATCCCAGTCCCATTAAGGTGCACATTAGTTATTCCCCAGGCAAACTGCAGTGTAGGATGCTGGGCAAAGAGAAGAGAAACAAGACAGGCAAGTAAGTGTTGCTTGTGCAGCGTTCGAGGGAAACARGACTCGGTGCTACTCAGACTCCCCAGACACCCACGGAGCATGGTACCTTCCAGGGACTCCTTCAGAGGGGCCACGAATCTCTGGAACTCCATCTCCTCCATGGCAGAGAGCACATCTCCAGCATTCAGGGTTTTCCTCTTCCCCTTCATGGCAAAGTTATTTGCACTAGGCAAAATCAAAGAGTAAGAGARAGGTAATTTGGAACTGTTACCAATTCCATCTTGTTTATTAAAGTCACAAACAACATAACAAAGCCAGCTCCTAAACACCCAGGGGGTTTTTATCACTTACTAACGGAGGTTTGAGACACTTTTTGGTTTACACTGGCTGGCTGTGCTTTCCCACTGTGTTAGTTTCTGCTTGCACAGACCTTCTTCTACAAGCAGGGGAAGGAGAGAGCCTGAACCTTGGCTGTGACATTTCCACTCAGCCCTGGAAGCACTGGACACCAGAAAAATGACTCCCTGCACAGAATATGCTGAGCCACCCCAAAAATGTGACTGTCCTCTGAGGCAGCTCTTGCCCTAACACAGCTTCATGGTGAGGAGCCTRAAAAGTGAGCCAAGTGCTCCTGCCATTGCCAGGAAGGCCATGCAAGCATGCTCTAAGGTTAATGGCAGTTTGGGACCCCTCTTTTTGGGTCATGTCTGTATCCAGAACYCATGGGCTGCTCTGGGCAGTCCAAACTCACCTGCTGCAGTTTGGCAGACAGTTTATTTATATAAACGGCCAATACAGAAACAAACTCTGGGAAAATTGTCCCCAAGCAGAGAGGTAAATTATCAATCAACTGCCCCAGTGGCTGCTGCACCAAAGCCTTACCATGATGTTGCRTACAGCACAAACACACTCGCTGCGCGGGAGATCGCGCTCCGGGCTTCTTTGGAAATATTGACTCCATCAGGAAGCTGGAAAACAAATTCAACTTTTATCAGTAGCTGCGAAAAATGACTTAAACTGGCATAATTTGCGTGTCAGTTTGCTCAGGCACTCAAGAGAGCTCAGAAGAACTGGGGACTGCTCTGGGGTGCTGTCACAACCAGAGCTMTGACCCCAGCTGGAAGCCAAGTGCAATATGTGCTCTTCAAAGGGGCAGTATGTGTCCCTCAAAGGCACAGAGCCGAGCAGAAGCCCAGTGTCTCTGGAGTTTGGGGTCTGGCTACTCCAAGTAACTTAACCTGTGACTACCCAGGTCCTGACACAGCAATCCCCCTGCCAGATCCAGATCCACTCAGCAACACCTCACAGCTCCAGAGCAAACCTACTAAATCAACCACTGGGAATTATTCTGGATTTTTATACAGCCACAGACCTCTGTGCTGAGTTTTTTGCGGGCCCTGGCTCTGCAAGAGCCGCTGCGGGAGCTGCACTATGGAGCATCCCTGGGGACACTGCTGCGAGTGCTGCGGGCCCCGAGACGCGAGCGGGGCCAGCGCAGGACAGAGCCCCGCGGGAGGGGACACAGATCGGGCCAGGGGCCGCGGCCTCATCCTCCCGGGGCGGGGGTGGCCGGGATCTCCCGGGGTCAGGGTCTGCAGAGCCCCGCTCCGCTGGGCCGCGGGCCCGGCACCCACCGCCTCCTTGATGATGCGGGTGATGACGGCGTTGGGCAGGTTCAGGTCCTCCGGTCTCTCCGCCATCCTGGGCCTCCTGCAAGGCAAACGCGGCGTCAGGGGCGCGGGGATAGCGAGGATCCCGGTGGGGTAGAGGGGATGCCAGTGGGATGCGGGGGATGGCGGGGGCACACAGCGATCCCGGCCCGGCCCGGCCGTACCCAGCCCGCGCTCCGCCACCGCCCCGCCCGCTCCCGGCCAGCACCGCGGCACGGCGGGAAATGGCGGCCGGCCTGAGGGAGAGCGAGCGGAGAGACACGGAGAGAGGGGAAAGGGAGGGAAATGGAGGAGAGGGAGGAGAGGGAGAAGGGAAAGGAGAAGAAGGAGAAACAAAGAAAAGGAGAGGGACAAAGGGAAAGAGAAGGACAAGGAGGAGAAGGAGAGGGAGGGATAGGGATAGGGATAGGGATAGGGATAGGGATAGGGATAGGGATAGGGATAGGGATAGGGATAGGGGGCAGGTGTAGGGATAGGGATAGGGATAGGGATAGGGATAGGGATAGGGATAGGGATAGGGATAGGGATAGGGATAGGGATAGGGGCAGG